CTCTTTTTAAAATGTATCATTAAAGTACCATTGGTATTTTTTTTTTAAATATCCATGGTAAATGGTATCAAAAATATCAATTTAAATGACATTTATTTTTCAGCATCCTTTAAACATCGTGGATATACTTACATACATACATACATACATTCATACATACATACATACATACATACATACATACATACATACATACATACATACATACAACCCTTGGTATTAGGAAAAATGAGGTCAGCAATAAATTGCTAACCTTGAACTGTTAGAGGTCGATATTAGATCGGCAAAAAAAATGTGATACAAAGGGGTTACCATAAAACATAAAAATGAAGTTGGTAATTTTTTACTGACCTCAAACACTTTTAGGTTGGTAGTTAGGTTGACATTGCTGAATGCCGGCCTTTAATTCCAAGGGTTGTATATATATATATATATATATATATATATATATATATATATATATATATATATATATATATATATATATATATATATATATATATATATATATATATATATATACATATGAATAGTAAGTGCAAAATCCATATATCTGGATAGTAAGTGCAAATCCATATAAACGAATGCATCATTGCAGCTAAAAACTAACCCAACAAAGTTTATATTGGACTAATGGAAGTTGAATGAAAAACCAGATATAACAACCATAAATCATTCAGTAATGTTTAATACAAAAAGTCCACTGCCCTATCAAACTACATCTGGGATTTAAAAAACTATTTTAATGAAACCACCATACTAATATGGTCTATTGCAAAGTCTGTACCCCCCTACTTAAATATTTTCAAAAGGTGCCCACTTTTGTCTGCATGAGAATTTTGCTATTATCTTATCGTATCCAAAACCTGAGGAACTGCTAAATAAAAGAACTGAAATTATATCAAAGCCATGAAAATAAATTCTTATTGAAAAATTACAAAGCTCGCTACAAACCTAACTAACAACTGACAATAGCTATATTACTCTACTTCATATATATATATATATATATATATATATATATATATATATATATATATATATATATATATATATATATATATATATATATATATATATATATATATATATATATATATATATATATTTTATTTGCATTCACTCCCAACAAGGCAGCAAGCAACCACTATTAAGTTGGGAGTTACTAGGAAAAAAAAGAACAGAGTTATAGAGCAAGGAAACTGTTGACAGAAGACTTGAAAAGTTGAAGGTTTTATGAGTCAGGAAAACATGAAGATGGGAGAGAGTTCCAAAGGATTAAAGTGCGGAGAAAAAAACTAGATGAATAAAAGTTTTTAGAGCATGCAGGGACAGATACAGTAAACAAATGAGACTTAGCTGAATGATGAGTAAAACGAGAATGAATTTTAGTTGATGGAACTAGAGATGATAACTCCTTTGAGCGGTGACCATGATAGTATTTGTAGAAAAGAGAAAGAGATGCAACTTTACGACGATGAGAAAGAGGCTCAAGCTTAGCAGATAGTCCAGGTCCAACAACATTTACAATGCGTTTTTGGACCTTGTCAAGAAGAGAAAGTGAATCGTTAGAAGAACCAGCCCAAATATGACAACAATATCTCTATATCTCTTGGGTAACTAATAAATTAATCCCATACACAGCTATTTAATATATTTTATGATATATATATTTTTATATCAATTTTTAATTTTATATAGTTTAATATATAAATAATGCACATTATGACAAACAAATATTTTAAACAACTTTAAAACATATAACTATTTCACAACCATTAGCTAACTAAAAACAAATTAATATTATCAACCTAACTACTAAACAATTTCCGTGTGTGTATGTATATATACTTTAATTTTTTTTTTTGAAAATGTTGGTTACTTGATTAAAGTCAATGTTTATAATAAAGCATTAAATACTTTTTTTTTTTTTTTTTTTTTTTTTTTTTAACATCTTCACTTCCAACAAGGCTGCAAGCAACCACTATAAGAGTTGGAAGTTACTGGAAGAGAAAAGACTAAATCTGTAGAGCAAGATAACGATTGACTGATGACTTAAAAGATTGCAAATTATATGAATCAGGAAAGCAAGATGAAGGAAGCGAATTCCAAAGAACTGATGTTCGAGGAAAAAAACTAGAAGAATAAGAGTTTTTGAAGCACTTAGGAACAGTCACAGAAAAAGGATGAGACTTAATTGAATGGCGAGTAACACGAGAGTGAATTTTAGTAGATGGCACAAGGGACGCTAGCTCTTTAGAGCAGTGCCCATTATAGTATTTGTAGAAAAGAGAAAGAGAAGCAACATTACGACGATGTGACAAAGGTTGGAGATTGGCTGCAAGAGCAGGTCCAACTATGTTTACAATTCGTTTTTGCACCTTGTCTAAAAGAGAAAGAGCATCATTAGAAGATCCGCCCCAGATGTGGCAACAGTATTCCATACAGGGACGGATTTGAGATTTATAGAGATAGAGAATAGAATCTGGAGTAAGAAAGTGTCGAGCTCGATAAAGAGATGCAACCTTAGCAGATGCTAATTTTGCAATGGATTTGATATACGGTTTAAAAGAAAGATCAGAAGTAAGAGTTAATCCTAGAAGATGAATGGTAGATGACTCATCTAGTACATTACCATTCATAAATATAGGAAGATCTAAATTATTACGATAACGATTGGCCGAATAAAATTGAGTTTTATCTGAATTAAAGTTCACCAGCCACTGTGAGCCCCATGCTATAGCAGAAGTGAGATCCTTTTCAAGCTCAGATACCCCCTCCAAGCAATCAGAGAGTGTAGGCTTATATATTTAATACTTATTAAAAATATTATTTACTTTTCAATTGTATTTTTGTTCATTAAAAGTAATAGAATGTAAATGCTTCTTTCTAAATCAATCATTAATTTTTGACTACTTGCGCGTTTTTTCTATAAGGATTAGGGGCCATCCATAAAATATGTAGGCTCATAGGGAAGGGGATCTTTAAATAGCGTATGAATTTGTTCAAGGGAGGGACGGGGGGGGGGCTGGATTTAGTATAAAAGTAAGTATGTACTAATTAAAATAATGATTTCTTGATGTTTGTTTTTCTAATTTATCACAATTAACAAGTACTTGTTGTTTAATAACTTCTTTTTTTTAAAAAAAAACCATGCCATCTCATTGTTGTCCATAGTTTGTCACCTAACCAATAGAAAAGTTAATTTTCTGACTGAAGATTCTAGTTTGCCATAGGATATATGCATAATGGAAGGGGTGTATAGTGTTCCTCTATACACATAAATGTCATCCTTTATACATTAACCTTATGTAAGGCAGACATTTTAGGCGACTCCTTTTTTGAGTCTGCATAAAACAGGTTTTAGGCTTTGTTTTAAATTTACTCGTTTTGCTTGAGACTCATTTTTTACAGACTTTCTAGGAGGGTGCCTGAAAAAAAGTGTTTGCCTTATGTATAGTTAATTTTTATTTGATTCTACTTAGATTCAATTTTTATTGATGGGAGTATGATCAATTTTAAGCACATTTTTTAAGTTAACACATGCTCTATTTTTAAAAAACATTTTCTAAATAATTTTTGTTTTTCTAAATTTAGAGTTTTTTATATCATAAAGGGACAAGGGGGGTTGGAGGAGGGAATTTTTAAATACTTTTTTTGGCAGGGGAGTACAAAAAAGTGCGCATGGCAACAGGGTTAAGATGGGTTCATATTTTTAACTTTTAGGCATACATCCTTTATGTAACACTCCTTATATATACAATTATTAAAAGATAAAACATCTTCTTAATATTAAGTATTCAGTTTAAAAAGTACCTGTTCACATAAGTTAATAACATTATTACTAACTAATATTAGCAGTTTTAATGAGCAGTGATGTAAAATGTACAATCACTTTTCTTCTTTAAAGTTGTTAACTTTAAAGTTTTATTATTATCTAAAGTAGTTCTGTGTAACTAATAACATATTCTCTTTTAACTGTATTTTTTTTTCCATTTAACTTTTTTTTTTTTTTTTTTTATAGCTTTTACTACCATTTGCGAAGTCATTGCATTAAATGAATTATTTATAAATAAGTTTTAAAATATCAATTGCATGTTTTCAATATTTTTTTTTTGGTTTTTGTTGTTTATATAACATCAGTAATTGTTATAGTAGCATTCATAGTATTAAGTATTCATTTTAAATTTTTTTATTATTTTGTAAAATTTTTTTGAAATTTAAAAATAATTTTATTCAAAATTATTATTTTAAAAGGAATTCAGTAATTTTCAATCATTAAGTTGTTTTTGTATTTATAAAGTTCAGTAATGAAGAACTATTGTGAAGATAAAAGTTAAAAAAAAAAAAAAAAAATTGTCTAAAAAAAAACTATTGATGGTTGATTCCATATGTTAGCTGGTAGAATTGACCACCCACATTTGATTTCTTATTTTCCATGCAATCTTTTTCTTTATCTTATCTGTTAACTATTAAGTTAACAATAATTTTTTTAATAATTTGATATTTTTCCCTTTTGACTATATAAAGTTAAGTTCTTTTAGATTATTTCCTTATGAAGTAATCTAAAAGAACTTAACTTTATATAGCATGTTAGCTTTGTTAAAATGTTACAGCGCTTAACTTTGTTATAGAGTGTTAACTTGTTAAAATGTTATAGCACTTAACTTTGTTATAGAGTGTTAGGATTAAACAGTTCAGTTAGATAGTTACTTTTAGAACATGTGTAAATCCACTTTAATAAATAGGTGGTTTTTAACATTTGAATTTCAAAATTTTAATAATTCAACATTTTACTCTATAATGATATTTGTAATTCTTTTTGTTGTTGTTGTTGTTGTAACATTGACATTTTAACAGAAAATATTGTCTATTTTAAGTAAAAAATATTTTCTAGAGTGTTTTACCTGTTCGAAATGATGATGCTAGGCATAAAGAATTGGAACATAAACCAAGAACCGATAGGTTGAAGGTTATACCACCACCAGCACCACCTAGCCAAGACAAAAATGAACCCCTTAGGTTTGTTTTTGCAACAACTTTATTTTATCTGCAAACATGTTTCTGATTTTTTTTTTAACAATTGATTTTGTCAATTGAATTTTTTTTTTTTAGTTATGAAGAATGGAAACATTTACAAAACAAGCAAAAAGCTCAATATTATCAACAAATGGCCAACCAAAATCAGCAAACAAATAAAATGCAGTATGTCACTATTTTGTTATCAAATTAGCATATTTTTTTTTAATTCTAATATACAATAAAAAATGTTATAGAGAAATTCAATCTGATGATAAAAAAGTTAAAGACATAAAATCTTCAAGACAAAAAGATTTGCAACGATCTGATATTCGAAAAAGTAAGCCAGAGGAAGTCAAACAACCATTAAGACCTTCTGAAAATTTGCCAAGGTTGCTCGAAAAGAGACAGGTATGTTTCGTATTGTGAATCTTGAAGACAATTAATTTTTTAATAAAAGTTTAAGTTCAAACATATTTTCATAATTTTAGGTTCCTATAGTTCCAAGTAAACCAGTTGAACGGGAAATACTGTATGTTTTCTTTTTTTTTTTTTCTTCTATTAATTGATGCCTTTAAGTTTTTTTTTTTTAATTTAATACATTTGTTCAAAGAAACACACAAAACATGCACATAAAACAAAGTTTTAATTAAATTTTTTTTTACCAATTTTTTTAAAAATTTTGTTCCAATTAAACTTGTCTAAAAAATTGTGAAACTTATGATTTTCTGAAAAAATTTTGAAGCCTACAACTTTCTAAAAAAAAATTAAAACTTAAGATTTTGTTTGAGTTGTGCTAATAACTTTGTTATTAGCACAACTCAAATTTATTTATTTTTTGATAAATATTTTTCAATTTTTTAAAAAGCTTATTAAATCTACTAACTAAATAATAATTTGTACTATTTAAATTTTTAATTTAAAAATCTACTATCAATCAAAATACTACTATTTCCTAATTTATAATTTTTGGAAAAACATTTTTGATAACAAAAGCAATTTTGAAAGCAAAAACAACTGATAACAAAAATAATTTTGATAACAAAAACAATTTTGAAAACAAAAGCAACTTTGATAACAAAAATGATTTTGATTGAAAAACAATTTTGCAAGTCTTCTCAGGAAAGGCATGCCGTTTTTCGTCTTGTATGACCACATGCGTGTATATTATTTTAGATAACTTGAACATGGCTGTTTCCAAGTTTTATAATAATGCTGTTACAAAAACAAAAAAAACAAAACTAACAAAATAAAAAGAGATTGAAATAGAAAAAAATAAAAACAAATTAATAATTTAAATAATTTGTGTACTGTTTTTATTTTTGTTTCTTTAGAGTGGTTGTTACATTCAGCATCAAAATTAGATAAGGCGAAGCAAAAAAAAACAAAAACAGTTTCTACAAGTCTACAATAAAAAGAATGAATTTCCTTTTCTTAACTTTTTTTTTTTAGAGGATAGCAAAAATACAAATTGCAATGTGTAAAATTTATTTGTATAATTTTAATGTGACAACAAGGGTTTAATTAAGCAAATGCAAAATGCAAAATCTGGAAAAATATCTAGTATTCAAAATTTTAGTTTATACAAAACCGTTTTCCTTGTTTTTAAAGGGAGAATCAACCTAAATTTGTAAGCGAAAAAATAAAAAATAAAATAATAAACTTACCATTACAAAAGTAATAACACACTAGTCACTAACTGCATTGCAAAAGTAGTAACACTATAACAGTGTTATTACTTTTATAACACACATAACTTTTAAAATTCATTCTTTGTTCAAGCAACATAAGTAATCCCAAATTTTATTTGTAGTAAAAAAATATCTAGAAGAATAAAGTGGATGTTCAAATAATATTAAAACTTAAATAACTTATAAAAACGTGACAAACAACTTTATAAAAATGTATCGTATTAAAAGTTTAGCATTATGAAAATCGTTACTAATGGACCATAAAACGCGCGTTAATTTTAAAATTAACCAATAAAAAATTTTTATTGGTTGATTTTAAAATTAACGCACGTTTTTACGTAATGTTTTTGATAATGCTATACTTTTTATAAAGTACTTAGTTATAACGTTGTTTAAGTGATATGTGAAAGTTCCTGAAATTTTTTTTTTTTGGACTGAATTTTGACTTACTGAGTTTTGTTGCCGATAATAATAACCACTAAGAAAATAATAACCAAAAATAAAAAAATTGTTTTCATTTAAGTTAAAACATTTAAGTTTACTTTAATTTATATGCGGTATTATATGCGGTAGTGGTGTAGTGGTAGAGCTCTCGATTCATAAACGAGTGGTTCCGAGTTCGATCCCCACCACGTCCCTGGTAGTACCGCGCTCAACTCGTTTCTCTGCGCAGCGGCCTTGTTCGTCAAGGTTCGTGTTTCGGAGTTATAGAGTTGAGAGAGGGTTATAGCCACGAATAAGTAGCCTCCTCGTCTGTAGTGGCCTTCTCGGTTTTGAGGAGGTGAATTAAAATAAAAAAAAAAAAATTTCTTATGTAGTTATTAAATTTAAGACATTTTTTCAACAACGCATATAATAAAACGTGAGCAATTGGTCATGATCAAGTTGTCTAAATTAAAAAAACATTTTTGTGGACGTACGAGACAAAAAACTGCACGCCTTTCCTGGGAAGGCTTGATTTTGAAAACAAAAATAATTTTGATAACAAAATCAAAATAGTATTAGAGTATTATTTTTTCAGTATTTACAATTTTATTTCTGTTATTTTTTTAATTATTATTTAGAGCTTCTTCCATCAGTGTTCCAAAAAATGATGACAAGTTTGATTCACCAAAGCGAAAACCAGCTTCAGATAGTGATTCTGATAGTGATTCTGATTCTGATACAGATTCAGGATCAGATAGTAGTGACTCTGATTCTGATGATAGTGATACCGATAGTGAAACACATTTCCCAGCAGCAGCATCTATTGCACCTGCTGCAACCAAGCAACCATTTAATAAAATACAAACAAATGTAAAACCTCCAGAAAAAGTAATTTATTTTTCAGAATTATTACTTTTTTGTATTTCAAAATTTGAAATTTATAATATTGTCTTTTTTCTTACTTGGATCTAGGTTTCTGCACAAATTCCAATAACAGTTGGGGCAGGCACTAAACGCCCTGTTAGAAAAGATGAACTTTTAAAAGAACTTAAAGCCGTAGAAGATGCTATTGCTCGAAAACGCGCAAAAATTGACTGAAAAAACCATTTTGTTTTGATTAGTGTAGCAGATTCATAAAAAAGCAGTCATTGAGAGTTTTTTAATTTAAGAAATTTTTTTTATTTTACTTATGTATATATATAAAGCAAAAAAATATCAAGATATAGTAAACTTGGTTTTTAGTTTCTCTAAGTATTATTGATGGTGATTTTTGATATGGACTCAATTATTTTGCTGCTTAACTGCCTTTTATATTGCTAAATTAGAATTGAATTTTGATTGGTTTTGATTTCCTTTTAATATTTTTTTTCTCTATATTTACTTGTACTCATGTTACTTGTAAATTTCTTGGGAATTAAATTAAGGTTTAAAACATTTGACCAATTTTAAGTTTTAATCTTCTATAGTAAATGTTTATTTGTTCCTGTGATACAATGATTGCATAGAGGTTGGTCATACAGAAATCAAACTTATCTTCCGTAGTAAATATGCTTAGTTTTCTGGTTGTGTTTAGTTAATTTTTTATTTGAAAATATGTATACTACAAGATTAATTTCTGCTGATCACAAAGATATCATCCATGATGTTTCATTTGATTTTTATGGTAGAAGAATGGCAACATGTTCATCTGATCACACAGTCAAAGTTAAAAGTTACTTTTATTTGAGTTTGTTATTTTTGTGTTGATATGAATATTTTGTTACTTTTTTACACAAACTAAATGTATCTTTTTTGCATGTAGTTTCGATTTTGCATGTTTTGATCATTGTCCATATAAAATCATTGTTTTTGATTATTTTTACTTTTTGATGTATTTGTATGAACTAATGTTTTGTGTATATGAAAGTTTTTTTATATTTACCAGTGTGGTTTATCATTGCACTTGTTTTTCAATTATATTAACATGCTTTTATTAAATCATTTTATTAAATTTTTTTGATAACCATCTTATTGTTAACTTAAAATCTTGGTTTGATAGATTTGGGATATCGATGAGCATGGAGAATGGGTGTGCACAGCTGACTGGAAGGTAGTTTTTAATTTATTTTTTTCAAGTTTAGTAATATAAGACAAACAAGTATTTTTTTTTCTATTGATTTTTTATTTTGTTTTTATTGTGCATTATTTTTTTAACTTTTTTTTAAGTTTGTCTTCCTTAGGTAAAGGTGCATGTTAAGGAGGCTATTTGTTTTCATAACTTTTATATAATTTTTTCAATTATTCAACTTTTTGACTCTGCCTCTGCATGGAGAAACAAGTTGTATGTTCAATTATTATAGATTTACCTTTTCAATGAGTTTAGACTCATTCAGGATCTGTATGGAAAGTCACTTGGGCACATCCAGAGTTTGGTCAAGTCATAGCAACATGCTCTTTTGATCGAACAGCAGTTGTATGGGAGGAACAAGGTTGGTTCTTTAGAATGTTATATTGTAATATATCTATGTATTGTGTCAATTTTAATAGAAATTTTAAAAAAGAAAAACATTTGTAACAAATATTTTTAAAAAGTTACCTTCTTTTGTGGGTGATCAGTTTATAGAAAAATGAATGTCTTTCTTATATTTATAAATATTTAGTTCACAATTAGATTTTTAATATTCATTATATGTATAATATTAAAACAAAAAAGTTCTTTCTACTTGTACTACTTTAAATGTTTTTGTACATAAATAGTTCATATATTGTTTACTTATTTTAATATGATTATTGAGTGTAGGAAAATGATGCCTCTCTAAAGCGTAAATAATATTTGTATTTTTTAGGTAAATAAATTCATTAAGGTTTAATCCATTAGGTTATTTATTGCTGAATAATTGTAAGAATAAAAAATGTTAATTATTCTTTATTTTCTGAAAATGTATGGGCATGAGTGTGTTATTATATATTCTATAGAATATATTATTGTTGCTTAAACCTAAAAACATAGTAGTCAATTATTTTTGTATCCAGCTCTGATTCTGTTCCCAATCTGTGTAAACAATGCTATCTATTTCATGCTCAGCATGTGCCAGAATTAAAGTTACTGAACCTGTGTGATCTAAATAAAAAAGTAAAGCTATTTTTACACTAAGCTAAAATCTTGTAGCTACTTGTAGCTGGTAAATTTTATTTACTTTTATTTGGCTATATTGGTGGTATCATTGCTCCTTTTTTCAGTTAATAAAAAATTAATTTTAATTTAGCCATGTGTTAGTGTTATATCCAACATTTGCATAGTAGTCCAGTTGTTGAGCCATGTGATGTTGTAATAGGGTAAAACTAATATTTTATGATTGATTTTAGTTTTATATGACATACTGAATCATAATGTGGTGCTAAAATGTTTTGGCATCTCATATGGTTTCTCAATTAAACAGTTACATTTTAAACTTTTATAGTTTTGTTACTTGAAAGTAGGGTGCCAAAGTGCTTCATTCTTTGAAGCAACACACTCTTTGTTTCATAGTTTTAGAGATTTTTGAAATTCAAGACGGAAATGTAAAAAACTGTTTAAACAGAACAGTTGAGAATCCTAATTGAACACATTATTTTAAAAGTTTCTGTTTTTTTTTTTTTTTATTATTGTTATTTTAGTTTATTTTGCCAACTAAACATTTTGCTTTTCACTTGAACTTTTGTTTTTATGTTTTTTTGGATTCTCATATTTAATGTCATTTTCTACAGATGTTTGAATGTTATTATAAAGAGTTTTCTGCTTTTTGAAAGCTTCTGCTTTTTTTTTTTCCTCATTCTAATATATTTTGCCAACCAGACAATATCTTTATTGGATCCATTTATAAATCGTTTTATAACAATTTTTAAATTTGTAAATATATTCATTCTTATGGGAATTTTAAGTAACTTAAATAAAATCTTTTATAAATTCAAATATTAAAAATAAAAACATTGAAAAATACCTACTTTTAAAACTGTATTTTAAAACATGTGCATTATTCATAAAATTATATACATACTTATATAAACAAAAAAAATACATATTCTTTGTTAATTTAAATAAAATGTCTTTATTTTGATAATCATTAAAAATTAATTTGTTTTTTTTTTTATTTAACAGCCTAAGCATAATATAAAAACTTTACAAAAAATTAATGATTCAAAGTTATTTATAATAAAAATTAAATAGTATATTTTAATTATTTATTTCTAAAGTTTAAATTGTGAAAACGTCTAGACAGCAGTGATCATATTGTCAACAAAAAATATTATCCGAACCTAAGCCTGCTATTGAAAAATAATAATAATTAAAATTAAATAAGAATTAAGAAAAAAGCAGCCATCATACCCATTGAGAACAAAAATTTTATAACCGTATATTAATTGTCTAATTTTCAAAAAAATGGTACAGTTTTTCTAAACAGTACATTTATGCGTTAGACACATTATTTTTGTGTCTGCGTTCTCACACACTTCACACACGCTTCAAGTCAGCCCTGATGACCAGGAAACATTACACTTAATTTTTTTTTTTGAATAAAAACATTTTTTTTTTTTCAGTTGGAGAAGCAAGTTCAGTGCAAATTGGGCGAACAAGTCAATGGGTAAGTCTTAAAAAGTTAATATTTGTGTTATAACTTTTATGTTCAAAATGCAATATATTTAAGTAAAAAAATTAAAAACATAAAATTTAAGCATAAACATCTCATAAACTCATCTCATAAATTCTTTATTTATAAAGATTTATAAGTAAATGATCTGAGCATTAGGGTGGATGAAACCAATAAAAGTTGGATTCTTGAAATGTAATAGCAATAAAAAGTTCCCTTTCCTTAAAAATTATCACATTCCCAGAAAAAAAACTGACAAAAATTATAGTCTTTAGGTGTCAAGGGGAGAAAAAGTCTATAAAAATTTGTTTCAAATCAAGAGATTTTTTTTTAATTATCTTTTCACTAATTATAAGGCTAATTGTAAAAAAAAACTTATAAATAAATAAAAATGAGTTTTTGGTACCATTTTGAACCTTTGGGAAACCTGGAAACCATTTTTTAAATTAAAAAAAAGAGTTTTTTTTTTTTTTACTTTTTTGGAATACTTACATATTCTCTAAGAGTGTTATTGAGTTATAATGAACTTTATTATTACTAAATTATTTCTTTAAAGAAATGAAGCTCGCATAATAATATGACATCTGTGTATCAAAATTTGTTTATAAAAAGTTATAAAAAACTGTTATGATTTAGGCATTATAAACAAATAATTTTTTATTAAAAAAAGTTATATGTTTTTGTAATATATATGGTTTTAATATATAATACTATATATGCTATATGCTATAATAAGATACATTTTCTCTTCATGTATTAACATATAAGTTCTTCCGTGATGGCCTACAATCAACTAGCAGACCCAAAAATGAGAAAAAAGTTTTAGTGCTCAATTTTTGATTCACACCAAGAACTATCTGAGATTTTTTTATAAACCTATGATAATGTTATGAAATAATAATTACTTGTTAAGCATGAACTGAAACCAAACTTTCTTACCAAAGACCCTACTGTATCAGAAAAAACTTTACTATTACAATAACAAGCTGTAGACATGAAGATTGTATTACATTGTGCAAATGCATTAAAGAAAGTAATGGACTTTTTAGTTCATAATTTTGAAAATCTAACGCAGCCCTGGTGAAATTATAAGATTTAGCAGGGGTTGATATCCAGGGCTAAAAAAAATCTATAATACTTTATACTTATATTTACTATTTGTTAAATACTGGCATATATTTTATTTTTAAACTCTAATTTACTTTCAACATGGTTGCAAGCAACCACTTTAAAGTTATAAGTTACTTTTAAGTAGAGGATAGCGATAAAAATCTAGGAAATATAGAGCCACTTTGCATGTAAAATTTTCATGAAGATCTATCTTGTAGATAAGAAACAATACAGGAAAAGATAGAATCTTGTGGTACCCATAAAGTTACTCCAAATAAGGAAGAGTGTAGGCCTTCAAGAATAATTTTAATACTGCAGTTAGAAAGAAATGATTTACTAATCTCAAAAACTTTATATAAAGAAACTAATAACCGAATGATAATTAGACTGAAGACTAATTGTAGGATATTGGAGAAGGCAAAGTATTTTCTAGATTTTTTAAAAATTGGAGCTACTTATTTAGCGCTTTTCAATAGTTAAGCAAAAAATGAAGAGAGTTCTGGAATACTTTTTTAAGACCATGATGGAAATCTTGTCTGAAACAATAACTATATAATTAATTTAGCATTGTTCAACAGTGGGTTAATATGTTTAACTGGCAGGAAAAGTATGACCATTAGACTTAAAAGTCGAGTTAGAGTAAGATTTCTTTGCAAATGACTTTGTCTTATTCGGGGTGAAGTAAAAAGACTATGAATTAGAGATTAAATGTTAGACTTTCTTTAGTTAATGACACTGTTAAAGACTGACCAAAAGTTGCTAGAACCTAAAATCTGAAATAAGACACAAGCTTGAGTAAATTGATAATAACAGAGCTTAACATCAGACAGGACCTTTTTACATTGGGTTCTTCCAATAATAAAAGGATGTTTGTTCCTAAGAGAGATGTTCTTGTAAAAAAAAAAGAAATAAAAGATTATGGCTTAATAAAGCAACTGCTCAAGATGGTGAAAAATGTGGAGTAGAACAAGGCTTGATTTAAAATTAAAGAGAAGGAATAAAAGCTTCCAAACTTTTATTCGAGAAGGAATAAAACCTTCCAAGATCCACATTTATCCATACATAATATGGATATAAAAATATATATTTGCTATTCATTTAAATGTTGGCATCTAAATAAATAGCAAACATATGCGGTATGTGGTGTTGTGGTAAAACGCTCGCTTCATAAGTGAGAGGTTCCGAGTTCGATCTCCACCATGTTCCTGGTAGTACCGCGCTTAACTTGTTTCTCCGCACAACAGTCTTGTTTGTCAGGGTTCGTATTTCAGATTTATAGAGTTGAGAGAGGATTATAACCACTATTAAGTAGCCTCCTTATCTGTAGTGGCCTTATCGGCCTTGAGGAGGTGAATAACAAAAAAAAATAAATAAATAAATAAATATATTTATATCTAAACGTATATGATGTACAAATACCCTCACATATTTATATAAACTTTAGTATTTATATGGTGTAGTATTTGCTGAAAAAAAAGATGATCAGACAGATGTGTAGTGAAAAAAGGAAGACAAGAAAAGAAGGCATAAACTTAGACAGCTTTAAAATAACCTAGTATCCATTAATGTTTTGTTAGAGAAGGTTAAAGTGATTTAGGTATCAGCATATAGAGAGGTAGAAGGTAGAGGAGAATATGCTAGTGGTAGAAGTAAGAAAACTTGAAAGGAGTGGACATTTGAAAGTACACATTGTATGAAAAAAAATGCTCTAGATTGTTAATATTAGAGCAAAGGCAAATCCTGATAATGATGATGATTGTGTTGATCATAATGATGTTTATATATGCGTATATATCAGGCTTGGTCGGGAAGCGGGAGCGATTGCTCTCGAATACTGACCACAGATATTATATTTAGTTGCGTAAAACTGGCCAGGTTTACTCATTTTGAGAACATTTAAGTTTATGTACGAAACAAAAAAATTTTGTTTTACGAACTTACATGGAAACATAAAAAACTTGAATGTTCTCAAAACATCTTTGTGCGAAAGAATAAAAAGAATATTTGCGAACACTAAAAACCGGCCAAATTAACGAGCAAACTAATTCGATTGGTTCAAAAAATACGCTGATTAAGCGAAAAAAAGTTCTAGAGTATTCTGTTAAAATGTTTTAGAAATTGTATTATACACGATTTGTTACGCTTTGAGATTTCTAGCATTGTTTAAGGAATATATATTATTTGTTTATGAAAATAAATGTTTTAAATATATATTAATTAAATTGTTAAAATTTTAAAAGTTTATTATAAATCATAGATTTTATCAGTAAATTCTTATTTTTTATTTTAAAAGAGATTGTATTCTTTATGTAAATGTAATTTTGTGTATTGGTTTTTTATCGTAATGTATCTTTTAAAGCAATTTTTATGATTTAAACAAAGACTTACAAAAATAATTGCGTTTTCAATAAAGTTATAATCGTTAAAGTTAATAAAACTAATTATGTAACAAACATATAAGAAGTTTCTGGTTACTAAACACAAACAACCCATCCAAAGTAACTCGCGGATGAACAAGCACTGTGCCTGAGGTCACAACAGAACACAAATATATAGCAAATAATTAGATATAAAGAAAAGTTTCTAGATATTGGTTTATTAACTCTAATTATTTTCGCTTAAGTTGCCATTCCTAAAACTCGTTATACTTTTTTCTGCTTTAAATACTAATTAAAATTAAAAAGCCCACTCACTAAACATCATCACCAATATTGTGAAGCAGTTTCGCTTCCTTGTCATATAGTATTTTTTAACCTTTTTAGTTGATTTCTATCTTGATAATTTAATTTCTATAGTAATTCAATGATTTAATTATTTCATTTGTTTATCTTACTAAGAAGAATTGCTTCAAATATGTTAAACTTCTCAAACTACGCGAAACATAAAATAGGTATTAAAAAAATTAACTTTTTTATTTATAAAATAAATTAAGCTTAAGTAAAACTAAAACTTGCAAACTTATTTAAATAAAGAATATTTGTTTCCCTTTTAAACAATCATAAGTTGTTACTTTATATAAAAAACATCGCTTAATTTTATAAAAAAAATTATAAAAGAGCGATGTCTCAAAAATATTTGTTCTAAATGTAATTTATTTAGCTTCAAGTTTTTTCGCATTTAAAGATATTTTATTTGCCTATTTTTTTTTTAATTTTTTTTTTGTAATTGTCTCTCGTCGGTCCGATTAATCTTTGTTTTTTTTTGTTTTTTTTGCTTTTTAAAATGTTCTCAAAACGACTAAAAAATCTGGCCAGCTTTTTGCAACTAAATAATATTTACGGTCAGCTTGGTCAGCAATTAAGAGCTTCCCGACCAAGCCTGATATATACAAAATATAACATGAATTTTGAATTAAAGTATATTTTAGGATGTATAAATGTTTATGCAGCCCCAGTCGTAAACCTGGCCCTGGCCACGGCTGTATTTTATCAAACCTTGCCTTGGTCAAATTTTAACCCCAGTTGCCTAATAATTATAATCACTAGTACTACGACGAAGCCTGCAAGCATTGGTAAGAGCATGCAACAGACATAAATTCTCTGACTGAGACAAGTTAAAAGATGTGCAATGCCTCTGTTTTGATGGACACAAGGATTCAACTTTAGTGAATATGAAAAAAAGTACCTTAAAGGGATCCCAAACCTCCGAGATATGTTTAGTTCATAATAAAGAAAATAATTTAAAAAAAATAGTTAGGGTTAAATTTTTTTGACCTCTTTAATTAAAAAATATTACCATCCAACAATTACCACAGAACACATATTCGTACATATATCGCCATGATTATGACTAATGTACAAGCAATATTCTTCATGCAATGATTACGAATGTGCAATAACATGTTTTTGAATTAGGTTAGCACAGAATTTTAAAAGCAAGGTCACAGCCAATTATCGGAATTAGTCAATTTATTTTTCCTAAGCTAAACTATGACAGTTCTGATTACATCAATCTCATTGATTGGCAATACACTAAAATCACAGAAATTCCATTGGTGTTTGACCTTTTTGGCATGATTATTAGAGAGATTAGAGGTCATTACTGGTAAATCAACTGTTATTGATTATCTCAGGTTTTCATGTCACATTCAAGCTTGTTGAACGTTGTGTTAAAGTTGTTACTGAAGCATTGGCAGCAGTGTGTGGTCATAAGTCAGAGACAAATTTATCCAATTGAGATTAGAGAGTTGATATATAATTCCAGCATTTAATACTAAGGAATACTGGGTTGCATAATTTTATGTTAATATCCACATTTCAGCATTTCAAGCATTTCCTTGACTTGAATTAAAATTGTATTAAATTTTTTAATTTTATGTTAAGAAGTAAGAGTTATATTGTATTACAATGTATTACAATATATAGTTATATTGTTACAATGTATTACAATATTACCATTGATAATATTTGTCATACATTGTAACATTTAGATATAAACATGAATCCACTTTCATAAATCGTATTCTTTTTTTAGTTTTGGTGGTTCTTTTCCAATTGACAGGGGATGCTAAATTAGTATGTAAATTTAAAAAAAAAATTAAATTTATAACAATTTTATACTACTTTAGTTTAAATTATTTTTTGGATAAATATAATTTATAATCAAATTCCCTAAAGAATATTATGGTCTTCAGGTGCCCCAAGGGGGTAAAAGGAGGAGAAAAAGATATATATATTTTTTTCACACTTAACTATTAGCATTGATTATAGTTAGAAATTAAAGTTAAAAAAATCTAAAAAATAAAAATAAATTTTGACTATTCTTTTATTCACCTAATTTTTCAATGTACCCTACTGTACAGAGGCTGAATTAGCATATGTTAATAAAGTGACTACTGTAAATCTCTATTTGGTTATTTCTTTTGTAGTTCTCGATGTGGTTCTTTTCTGTTAGTAAACTTTTGTACTTAAATAGATGTTGTTCTACACATTACCCTTAGTATTGATGATTTTGGATTCCTTTTTTCTTTCATTTCTTATATGACCTTTTAACCTCTTAGAACTTATTACTTTTAAAAGCTCAATTACAAAAATAGATTTTAATGATTTCCCAATTATTCATATTTTTCATTCATGCTTTAATATTATTTTATTTTAGGTTTTGTGGTTCACTTGCTTTATCTATTTTTCAAAATAACACTTTTAAAATATTAATTTGTATATTAATGTTAATTTTAATCCACAATTTAATTAAGAGTTAATAACACTCAGTTAATTTTTTTTTTTTTATCTTCTAGATAAATTGCCTCCATAACCTGTTATAAGGCCTACTTTGTCCATTTTTATAAATAATATACAAATGAATAAAGTATTTTTTCTTAATCGTCAATTCTTTTTTCATCTCCTCACACAAAAGATTTTGAAAGATTTTTTTTTTGTTGTTGCTTTTGTTTTCTTGTTACAATAAAAAAAAGATTTTTTGATTATTTTTTTAAAGATTCAACGAGCTTCTTTGGTTGACAGTAGTAACTCAGTTACTGATATAAAGTTCTCTCCCAAGCACCTTGGACTTTTATTGGTATGTTTTATTATTATTATTATTGTTTTCAATACAAATATAGTTGTTTGTGGTATATTTTATTAACATTATTGTTTCATTTACATGTTGTTGAAAATATAAGATAATTTAATGCTCAAAAAACTCATCAATGTTTTGGAATGTAGTTTAGGCAATCATATTGACCAAGTTATGTTGCAACTAGACTTCAGTCCAGACATTCTGGTGCATGTATACAAAATCAAACATAAATTTTGAAGAAAAAAAATGTTCTTTAGGATGTATAAATCTTTATGCAGCCCCGGTCAAATATCAACCCTGTCATTTACTATATACAGTTAGTTTTAATCTGTTATATAGTCAAAAAATTGGTAAAAAAAAATGTCTTTTTTGTTAAGCCGATAAATATTTTGAAGTGCGACCAGTCTGCAGCAACTTTGATAATATACTACAATATCTCATTTAAAGTATTTTTTTATTTTTTTTAAATAAAATTTTTTATTAGGCTATGTGTTATAAAGATGGCGTTGTTCGAATATATGAAGCTACAGATGTTATGAATCTTAGTCATTGGTCTGTTCAGGTTTGTTATGTATTTGTTGTCACCATTTTTATCTTTAAATAACTTTGAATTAAACATAAGTTTAAATAACTTGGTTAAACTTAGTTCTAACAGAATTCTGAGCAGAAAAAAATATATAAATTTTAGCATGTTATTAACTGCAAAATAACCAGTGCAAGTTCAATATCTTGGAATCCATCGAGGTATTTTTTATATTATATGTTCTGTATTTTATTATTTATTTTTATCATTTATATCATTTGTTCTATATTTTTACTCTTTTTATTTAAATATAAACTTTTATACAAGTGCAATATTAAATATTATAATATTTTAATTTTTTTCAACGGTGTTTAAGTTTAATTTTCATATATTTATACTTACTTGTCAAATCAGTAGAAAAAACAAAAATTGGTTAATTTTACAATTTTTTACATTTGTGAAATGGGCACTAAGTCCTGGGGAGGAGGTATGTAATTTAGGTTTTACCTAAGAAAATTAAATAAAGAAAGTTCCAAAATTTAACACTAATGCTGAAATCATTATTAAACTGATTGATTGGAGTAGTGACTATAGGAGCTTATTACTATGATCATTAGTAGTAACTATTAGGAGCCTAATTTAACTAATATAAGCCTTAGCCAAACAAATTCCTTTGCCAACTTGGTAAAGAAGAACTTATTAAGTTCTTTGAAGCCTCAATAGAACAATCTATAGAAAGAATTGTGAAAGAGATTGCAAGAGCTTCTAGCTTTTAATTTTACATACAAGACAAGCAAGATGGATTTATAAAGACAACAACAGTTCAATAATAGTTTACATAATCGATCTTTTACACAAACAAAAATCAATGGCATCATGTAATGAGACACTTAGGAATAAAACATACTTGAATAAATTGAAAAAATCTAATCTGTAGATAGTGGTGTATATTATGCTGACTTGTTGGCCTACAATGGAGAAGACAAGCTTCAACTAAAATAAAAAAGTTATCTTGGTATGTATTTATTTTTTTGTTTTTATTCAAAAATATTTAACCCAAATATTTTTTTTTATCATTCTCTTTAATATGAACACAAAATGTCTTGGAGGTTTAAGATCCTTTTAAATGTTTTTTTATTCGATGAGTTTTTGTTTCTATTGAAGACTTTTCAAAAGAAGCAAGAACTCATTGAATAAAATTTGTAATAATTTACTTAGTTTGACTATATTTAAACTAAGTAAATTATTACAAATGCAACAACTTACGGTTTTTCAAGTTTCTAATTGAAAGTTATTTTTAAATTGTTTAAAATATTTTGTTACGTTACAGTTATATAATATATAGGTGCCTTATCAGAAGTATTTAAGATCTATATATATATATATATATATATATATATATATATATATATATATATATATATATATATATATATATATATATATATATATATATATGGCTATTTTTGACCATTTTCAATATCACCGACCATATTTGGGCGCCGCTTAAAATTTGAGGACCTTTTTTATTTTATTTTGGTGTTTTTTGACGTTTATTACTAGGCAAATACTGTTTTTTTAGTGGAAAAAAAACCACTGATTTCCCGCTAAAGTTTCCCGAAACAATGGGGTACTGCCACCCAAATTTTTTTCCTAGAATAGGTAAAAATGAGGTAAGCAATAAATTCCTTTACTTCAATCTTTTAGGGGTTGAAATCAGTTCGGCAAAAAAAAATTTGATACAAAGGTCTTTTCATAAGACATAAAAATGAGGTAGGCAATTTTTTGCCAACCCTTATTCCAAGGTTTGTATGTATATATATAAAAGGGGTGCATCGGCATCAGCCTGCCGATGCATTAAACATTTACCCGATGTATCTGCATTGGTCTTGGTAACCATCAGCCGATGCGGATTGTTTTAAAACATTAGTGTTATGTTTTTGTATTTCTGTATTGTATGCAACAATTGTTACATAAACAAAAATGCGTGTATGAACCTAAGTTATTATATAAGTATATTGGCAACTGCTAATTTATTATTAATTTATTTTAAACGCTATTTTATTTTTAATTAATTTATTGCTAATTTATTTTTAATTAATTTAGTTAATTTAAATTAAGAACCACTAATTTATTTTTAATTTATTTTAACTGCTAATTTATAACCGCTAAGTTATTATATAAGTATTATATAAGGCAACCGCTAAACTTTCAAATATTTTCTGAACAGATTTTTATCAGGGGTTCTTTATTATTTTATAATTTAGAAAAGCATTTATATGATTTATGTACAAACGAAATTACAAAGTTACAAAAAAGTTACAAAGAGATTTAAAAGTTAAAAATCAAGAAATGTAAATGTAATGTAAAATGTAAAGAAACATTCTTTTCTTTCTTTCCTTGATGTTCCTGCTCTTGATATATATCATGTGAGTATGAATTTTATATATATATGTATATATATATATATATATATATATATATATATATATATATATATATATATATTATATAAATATATATATATATAAAAGTATATGTATATATATATAAAAGTATATGTATATATATATAAAAGTATATGTATATATATATATATATATATGTATATATATATATATATATATATATATATATATATATATATATACATATACTTTTATATATATATACATATACTTTTATATATATATACATATACTTTTATATATATATACATATACTTTTATATATATATATATATTTATATATATATATATATATATATATATATATATATATATATATATATATATATATATATATATATATTATATATATATAAAAAGCATAAAACAACAGTTGTGTAAAACTAAATTTATTAAAAAAAGAAGAACAACATGAGAAGAAAAAAAGTCATAACAACGTACAGTCATAAATGAGAACATAAGAACGTAAATATAAAATTAGCTAAAATTAACTAATTCTGTTTTTTTGGATAATTTTTTAAAAGCAGAGGTTTCCGACTGTTTGTAGAAATTTTAACTCCATTGTCACGGTTGAGGAGTATAGGAGCGTGTTTTATTTTTGGGATGTCAAGTGATTCTCTAATTTTACGTTCATCATACTGTGGTTTTTTTGCTAGTGTTTTGGTGTGTGACCATTCTAATATACTATTACATTTTCTACCATGTTCGGTTGCCCCAGATGCCTCCAATTAACCTTTTAAATTTTTTTTGATGTTCACCAAGATTGGTGACTTGTTGCATAAGATGTTTTTTTGAAAACTATTTATTAAAAAACTTTTTTTTATATTCTCATAAAAACTTCATTAACAAAACAACATGTTAGGATAATTGTCTTACAATGAGTTTTTAACACTTTTTAAGGAGCCATTAAACTTGAGTTAATCAATAATTTTTTTTTTTTTTTTGTTATTTAAGATTGTGATTTAACTAGCTTCCAGAATAAAATTTATCAAAACCTTTATTTTTTCTAAAATATACAAAGTTTTACTTTTACTTTTCATAATAAAATGGTTTCCTTGGATACTTATTACTCTGATTGTATACACAACCCTCAGAATTAGAAAAAATGATGTCAGCAGTAAAATTGCTGACTTAAAACTATTAGTGGTCAGCATGAGGTTAACAAAAAAAAAATTATATAAAAAGGTCTTACCATTAAACATGGAAACAAGGATCACAATTTTTTCCGACCTCAAACACTTTTATACATGATAATGAAGTAGAACATCTGGCAAAAAATATGTTAGGTGTGATCCATTTGGTGTGGGAGCCTTTTTTGAACAAAATAATTGTGATTTTCTTAATCATTAATAAAATTTTCATTGATTCCTGGTTTCATTGATTCCAGGTCAAAAATTATATCTATATATATATGTATATATATATATATATATATATATATATATATATATATATATATATATATATATATATATATATATATATATATATATATATATATATATATATATCTTCTATAGCTTGTTTAGATAAGCATATGCTCACTAAATAAGCTATAAAAGAGTGCTTGTCTAAATAAGCAATTTTTTTATAAAAATAAAATCTAAATATTATTCAAATCCTTAAAATTAGATACTCTTTTTCATTTTAATTTCCAAAAAGTTTCAGAGGGGCCACCATTCTTTTGTCAACAAATGTTTGAATTAGTATCACGCTTCTGAAACTACTTTAACGAAGTAGATTTTTATACTTCCAAACTTCTTCCATATTGTTTGCGTCAGATCGCGATTTTTTTTTTAACTTTTTATGGTAAAAAAAAATTAATATCAAACAAAAACGCAATTTCTTATTGATTATATTATTGATTATAGTATTGAAGTATAATTTTAGTTTTTTGCTTACGTTGTTTTGATATATCGATTTTAAAATGTTACGCTGTAAACTTAATTAATGGTTAATATTTTTTATATTTTTTGGTATTTTTTATTCAAATTAATTATTAATTATTTTTATTTTTTTTTAAATTTCTTATTTAAATTACGTTTTTTTTATCTTAAAAAAATAACACAAGAATAATTTGAAAATCTTATTTTTTAAAAACTATTCGTTATAAGTTAAATAACAAATTTTCCCCTCAACTGTTGTCAACAGTGTTTCAAAATGTCTTTGAATTGTGTGAATTGACACAAAGTTCGTCCCATTGATAAACCGTAAAACTTATTTTCTTATCAAACCTTTACAAACTTGTAATATTGCTTCTCTATTTCTTGTACAAACTTTGTAGTAAATTTCAATAGCATATGTAGTTCTGTTGGTAATTTCAGTTCTAAAGCCTATTACCTCTTTAACTTTCCATTTAATAAATGTTGACATTATTACTTTGTTTCCTTTTGTAATGTCCTTGAATGCGAACATTCTAAACAACAGAATCGTTTTAAATTTGAGTTAAAACAAATAACAGTTAATAAAAAACCTATACTATGAACAAAAACTAATTTTAAAAATTACTCTGTTATTAATATTTATTTTTATTATAAACGATGTGTGGAATATTATAAACAATAAATCAAATAAATCTTACTTGATATTTTCACAAGGTTAAAAATATTCTGCAGTTTCAATTTTCAGTGCAAAAGAGAATGATGTAGTGTTTTTTATATTTTGTATCAGTGCTTCGATAATATAACATCTTTACTAAAAATTCTTTTTTTAATGTTTTATAAAATTAAAAAATAACTTATTATTTTTTTTGTCCTGAACTCTTGGATGAGCATTATTTTATACGCTCATTATAAGCAGAACGAGTGTTGTTTATCGTGCCTAGAATGTTTGAAAATATCATTTACGGGCGCATTTTACAAGAGCAGTGTGATAGCGCTGGCTTTATCATAAGCCCTGGGCCACTAAAATTAAGGATAAACTAAAGTTGACTGATCAAATATTTATTCATTTTTTATATTTATTTAAAACTCTCTTAAGCCTAAAGTATCATGTTATACTTGCTCTCAGGCTGTATCATGTATCTCTTAAGCCTAAAATATTGTGTTATACTTGCTCTTAGGCTGAATAACACTAAATATAGTGGATCTTAATGTCAGTTATAAACCACGCAAAATAGCCTTATGAACATATATTAAAACTTTATGTTCAAATCTTTTTTTAAAGAAATGAACTTTGATCATCTAAATATAATAGCTGTTAGCTTCTTTCCAGCATTATTTGCTCGGAAATTATGTCTTGATAAAAAATATTTACCTTATACAAATATAACTTTCCATATTCAGATTTTTGAGTTTGAATATTAATTTGGTAGATTTTATTTTTGAAGATTTAATCCTTTAGATGAAATGTTTGATTGAAAGATTTGCTATTTTTTAACAATGACTCCTTGCTATATTAAAGAAAAACTTCTTGCTATATTTTAACATAAATACTCCATACTATTTTTCAACATTAAATCAAGTTATTAACATATATATATTTTTTAATATATTTATAATTTTAATTTTGAATATAAAATTCTAATTTTGAAATTTTTAAATTTTTTTTTTTTTTTTTTGTTTAATTAATACTTTACTACATTTTTTTTACTTTATTTTTTATCTTATTATTTTTTTTTTTATTGTTGATCCTTAGATCACAAAATATCTATAAAATAAAATTTTTATAAATATTTTGCTCTTTTTTTTCTTGTTCTGATTTTTTTTTTTTTTTACTTTTTCCATAACCTGTATGATTGCTGTTTTGTGGAATTACAAGGATTTATGTTCTTTTTTTTTCTTAAATAGAGCACATGCTCCTATGTTAGCAGTCGGAAGTGATGATACAAGCCCAAATGCTGGTGGAAAAGTTGAGATACATGAATATAACAATAATGCAAGGTTTCTATATATTTTTCAATATTCATATAGTATTTGATATTTTCACAGTAGTTATAATAGTTATAAATAATTACTATATAAGTAGTATATAATCTACTGATTCACAATTTGATTTTAAAACTTCATTTTATATTTTTCAATAAAAAAAATTGTGAAGTATAAAAATGTTCTTCAATAATAAGTATATCTATTGTTCATTGAACACAATGAAATTCAGCACCCATTATTTGCTAATTACTTTAAAACTATTCAGCAAATAAATAGCATATATAAGCTAATTAAATTATTTCATTAAGTTTTCACATTTTTTTGTCAGATTTTTATATAATAATAATTATTTGCAATTATTTTAGCAAGTACTTGACATCATCTGCTAATATTTGCTTTGTGTTACTTTTTTTTATCTAAAGCTAATTTATTGCTTTTCAATTATTTTTTTAATTGACCAATAAATTTCAATAACTTCCTGCTCAGGATAACTTGGAGGATTTGCTTCTTTTAGGTACAAATTTAATGCCATTTTGTTCATAAAATTCTAGAGACTTCTTGGAGTTGTGGATTGTAGCCAAACCAAGACAAAATATTTTTAGCATATCATGCTTTTGAATAAATGGTAAAAAATGTTTCTCTAAGCAATCTTTTATATACAAATATACGTTCAAAGTTGTCCAAGCAATTTATGATGCACTATTCTAACCATAGGATTTCTTTCAAATAAGTAATTTAAGATCAAGTTTCTCAGTTTGAATATACTTGAATTTTTTAGCCACATCCACTATTTGACTAATAGAAATATTGGCAACTTGGTAATTGTGTTATTTCCAGTCCTTTTTGCAATAGGTTACATTATTTTAAGTTATGAACTAGTTTTCTCAGTTAAGAAGTTTCAAGTTGCCTTTATGAAGCATATGATTTTATTTTGTATTCATCTTTATCTCCTTTTCTTTTTCTGCTTCCAGCTTCTTTTTCATTAGATTAAGTCTGTTTACATTGCCACAAAACTTGACTAAGGATTGAGACACACTGGTCAATTTTGAAGTGCCAACCTTTGACAATAAAAGATTAAAAAAAAAAAAATTTCGATAATAATATTAATATTTTTTTACTTATTTTAGTCTGACAACAATCCTACGCCTATAACCATTCAATACCTATAACCATTATAACAACAACACATTGAAAAAATATGTTAAGTAATTAATGTTTAAAGGTGTTGATTTTCATCATGTGAAACCAATAATTAAATGACTTTAAAATGCTCTATTGCATTATTATTGTTTTATTAAGAAAATGGATGAAAGTTGGAACTTTAATGAGTGTAACTGAGGCAGTACATGATGTTGCTTTTGCACCAAATATTGGCAGGTAATAAAAAGTAAAAATGCTGTTTTTTGTTGTTTTTGTTTTCTTTCTGTTTTGTTTGTTTATTGATTTCTAGATTTTAGGTTTTTTATTTTTTGTTAGAACTCATCATCTGTTAGCAATTGCATCTAAAGATGTTTACATAATGTCCATCAAACCATCTAAGTAAGATTGTATTTAATTGGCTATGTTTTTTTATTTTTTTTATTGAATGTTTCTTTATTTTGTATTCATAATTTTTTTTATATTTTTATTAGAGAAAAAATGACACAATCAACAAGTGGAACACTGGTAGTTGATAAACCAGAGATCTCTCAACTTGCTCTTCTTCATGATCATGAAGCACCGGTAAAGAATACTTTAAATTGCCATAATTTCCTACTTAATTTTTATTTTGAAACATCAATTACTTGTAGTCATACAAACTTGTGTAAATTATAAAACTATACTACAACTCAGTGTTTGAAAAAATATTTTTTATAATATATATTGTTTTTAATTTATATAAAAATTGCCAACATTCTAATATGTTGAAAAAGCCATTGCCAAATATATTTTATTGATTTAATTGCTGATTGTAATTTAAAAATTGAGTAAATAATTTAAAATACACATGTATGTTTAATAAAAAATAAAAAAGCATTAAAATAAACCTTGCATAAATGTGTGTATGTCTTTGCATATATGTATGGTTATATGTGTGTATATCTTTGCATATATGTAGGGATGTTTCAATATCTGGTAAAGTAACACTAACAGAAATTCCTTCAACAATAACAGTAATATTCAAATTCTCCTTAACTTTTTTTATCTTTTTGCTGTCGAAGTGCAGGACAATTCTTTTTCAAAGTTTTCATTATCTTATATATATATATATATATATATATATATATATATATATATATATATATATATATATATATATATATATATATATATATATCCTAATAATAAATCTGTCCTCCTAATAATCAAAATAAATTAACCTAGCATCTTTTTTTTTTACTAATAATTCTCACATAGATCTTTAATCTTCTTGAATTTCTTTTGATGAGCTTTTGGAAATTGGAATATTTTCAAGATTCACGTCTGATCTATTGCATATTGCTGCAATGATCATGGTTTAAGGTCAGGTTCCAACTGAGCAGATACTACAGACATACAATCCACTCAATCAGCAGGACTAATAATTATCATTATCTAAATAATAAATATTAATGATATTCCTATTCAAATTGAATTTTAATTTAGTTTATTCAAAATAAATTAACCAACTTTTTTTTTTTATAACCATTTGTTTTTTTTTATAACCATTTGTTTGCTTTGGATGTTGAATCAGAGTATTAAATTAATTCATCGACAGAATTTTCATCTGTGGAAAATAAATCTTCTGAGTCTGATGCAGAGGAGCCAGCATCAGAATCTAAAGAAACCTCACTAAGATCCAGATCCTTCTTCTTTTGTTCTTTCTCCACTTCTGCTTTTCTTATGTTATTTATTCTCCACAGCCAATCCTGTCTGTTTTTAACAGATAATTTAAATTCTTTGTCTACCTCTGTTGTAATATACACTTTCCTATCCACTTTCTGGTCTTAAAAAAACTAAATATCCTCTCTAACAACAAGTATATTGTTGAGCCTGACTCTAAGTTACACATGTTTTGCAAAATATGAGCAGAAATCTATTAATACCGGAATTTTAGTGCTTATTTCATTCAGTAAAGTTATTGTTTTTTTTGTGCAAAACAAAAATATATATGTATCAGAAGTTTATGCATGTTTGTGAGCAAAAAATAAAATAAAGTTTGGCATAAGCATACCTAAACCCGTTTTAAAAATAAATATGTTTATAAAAACATGCATCAGACTAAAAATATTGTTATTCAAACAAGACATAATCAATAAGTTTAATAATAAAAAAAAAAAGGTAAGAAAATATTTCCTTACTAACTAATCCCAAATTGATGTAATTTTTTTATCCTGTATACTGGGGAAAAATAAAAGTTTATTTCTAGGACACCCTACTGTCTATATACCATATTTAAAATCTGTAAATAATCATTAATTTATATCAAAATTGTATAAACCTGGCAAGCAAACTGGCATAAACATTTTTTTTTCCAAATGAATTTGAAATATTAAAGTAAGTATCAAGTAAATTTTTTAGTATATTTATAATTTAGGATAGAAATATCAGTGGTCAGCTATGCTGAAATAGTAAGGCGTTTTGTTTTAAATCCACTATAAATAGACTCAACCAATAATGTTTTTACTTAATATATCTTATTTGTATGAAGTATATTTTGAGGCAGCCCTATTGGTTAATTTTATTTATGGTGTTATTTATGGTGAATTTAAAACAAAACGTCAGGCTCTAAGAACATGGCTGAACATGGCTGACCACTGGTATTTCTAATCTATATCAATTTTTTGTAATTTTGAACTCTTAATCTGAGAATTGCTCTGTTTCTGATTCCTGGACAATTAGTTATCAAAAAGCAATTGATTAAAGATAAGCTTTTCTCCTTCACTTTTTCGTTTTTTTTTTTAACCATTTAGTTTTAATTTCTTTAAATTTTTCACAAGATTGAGGTAATAGGGTTATGCATGCTTGCTTCAGTTTATTATAGAACCAAGAGATGATCTAGACCAGGGAAGCTCAAATAGCAACTCACTAGCCACATGAGGCTCGTGAAAAAAAAACATGAATTATACATAGCAGGAACACACTATTGCTTGAAAAATGGATATAGCAAAAGGTGACAATAATGCACTTCACGATAAAAGTAAGAAAAAAAAAATTTAAGATGAGAACAGATTATTTCATGGTGATTGGACAGAAAAATACAGATTTATTGAAAAACAAAATAAACTTATGTGTTTGATTTGCAATACTGAACTTGTTCATAGTAAGACACGCAACTATGAAACAAAACATGTATTTTTCTGAAAAAATAAAAATGGAGTTGCTTAAAACAATATTTAAGAATTAACAAATGAATATTTCATCTTCTAGCAAAGAATCAACTATTACAACAGAAGCAAGTTTAATTATATATAATTATTTGTAAAACAAAATCTTTTATGCTTAATAATAGCAAAATTCATAGGTTAATTTCAAATATTTTTGTTTCAGGACTTACAACAGAAAGAAGAATATATGAGATTAGTTTTGTTGAACAGCATTTGTTAAATGACTTAAAAAATTGTGAAGCATTTAGTTTAGAATTGGATGAATTAACAGATATTCAAGATAAAGCTCAAATGGTAGTATTTATTAGATGTAACATAAGATGTACTTGTGAAAGAAGAGTTGCTAGATTTAGTAGAGCTAAAAGACACAACTCATGAAATTGATTTAAAGGTAGCCCTTGACACTTCTGGTGAAAGCCAATGCTCCAAAGAATAAGTTTGTTAGTGTTGCTACAGGTGGTGCAACAGCAATGATTGCAAAACATGTTGGGTTTACCAAAAAGTTATCCTTCATATCCAGAGTTTCGTATCCCAGTTCATTGTGTGATTCATCGAGAACATTTAGCAGCAAAACATTTTAATATGAAAATTGTTAAATCAAAGCATCACACTAATCTAACTAGTAAACATTTGTTAGTGTTGCTTAGAATATCAGCTGCAAGCTTGAAACTAAATTTAAAAAAACTTACCAGTCGTTTTCAAAATCTAAGTGCCTAAATAATCTATAGTAAATTATGCATGTTATTATGCAAGAAGAATTTTCTAATGGTCTTTTACAAAATAATTGATGTTATAAAAAGAATTCTTTCTGTTATCTCTAATTTTTTGCTGAATGATAAAAAGTTATTTTTTAATTGTAAAAATCAAAGTAATTAGAACCTAATTGAAGTTCATTTAAAAAAAAACTTTTCTTTTGATAAAAAATTATTTTCAATGAAAATTTTTTTATTTTGCTTTTAATGGGTCCGGTCTAGACCCAGACCTGACCAAATCCCTTTTGAACCAGGTCTGGGTCTTGTAATTATGGATCCAAAATCTGCCAGACCTATTAATCAATGGGTCAGGTGTGGGTCCTATAATATCCAGACCTGTTATCCCCAAACCTGACCGAAAATTTCTTAATAAATGCTACTAAGATTTTTTATTTGCACAAATTTTCTGAATTTATTTTCAATAGTTAAAATCAAAAGTTTCATGATTTAATTGCTGCTCTGACCTCACAACATTATTTCAAGATGAAATTCCTAGATAAATGTTCTTCTGCGGTGATCTGTGACAAACCATTAGGATTTTCTTGGAGCACTTAAACAAGAAAAAGAAGTTTTATTGTTGTTGTTTTTTTTATCAAAAATCAAATAAAAAAATGTTTGTAATGCCTTAGGTTAGATTATTTGTGATGCCCCCAGATAAAGAATCTATCAGATTCTCATTTTATGGCTAACTAGTTTTTAAGTTTTTAATCAACATTGAAAGCTGAGAAAAACTACTTAGTTAGCCCTAACTGTTTGCGACCTGTAACCTGCACTCAGTAATGCAGTACACTATTTTTGTTTTTGTTTAGGCATGACCAGGGTAGATCTGGACCCAGATTCCTAAAGTAAATCGGATATGTATCCAGGTAGGGTCTGTTGATACTTACCCAAACTCATACATATTTATACAAATTAGGTCTGGGGATTTTAAAATCTGACCCTGAACTGCCCCATCAACAGCCCTAATCTCAAATGGACAGGAAACTAAGAAGTGAGTGTATTTTAAGTAGAAATTAAGAAATATAAAAAAAGGTCTGGAAAAAAGTTTCTAGTGTTTTTGATAGAAATTTTTGATTTACAATGCCTCTATCCTTTTTCATAAAAAAAAATATGTAAATAGAAATAAATGTTGCACTATGCTTTTTAATTATAGATGAAATTTTTTGTTATGTTGTTAAATCTTTCTGTTTTATGAGCAAGGTAATACAAGAAATGCGAAACAGTTTTTATTTTATTTAGCTTATTTATCACAAAACAATTTGATATGTTTTACATTTTTAGGCAATTCATAAGTTTTTCATAAAGAAAAGATATGTAAATAGAAATAAAATGTTACAATTTGCTTTCTAATTATAGATGCAATTTTATGTTATGGTCTTAAATCTTTCTGTTTTATAAGCAAGGTAATACAAGAAATGCAAAACAGTTCAGTTTTTATTTTATTTAGCTTATCAAAAAACAATTTGATATGTTTTAGATTTTTAGGCAATTTGTACGTAAAAGTTTATAAAGCACACACTCTGTTGTTCTTTGTTGCACACACTCTGTTGTTCTTTGTTACACACACTCTGTTGTTCTTTATTGCACACACTCTGTTGTTCTTTGTTGCACACATTGTCTATTGTATTATCATAGTAATAAAAATATACCTTATATGTAGAAAGTTTGGGAGCAAGTTCAGTGAATAGGCTCACCAGCATTCAATCCTTGAATACTATTCACCAAACTTTTTTTTTTTCTTTTTCTCTCTCTTATGCGTAAGTTGCATTTAGCAAAACTTGAGCTTTTTTTTGTAAATTCAGTGTTTAAAAATCAGTATTCACCAAGCTGAAATATTCAATAAACCTTTTAGAACTTGCTTTGCTCAATTTAAGCAAGAAAAGTTATATTTGCTATGATCTGCCTTAACTTTGTCATAACTTTAAAATCCCTTAATGGTATTGTTAATGTAATGTAATTATGATCCATATTACATTTCAGTTCATTCAATCAGATTAATATATTATAAAGAATATTGTAATATTTACCGTTTATTTATATAAATTGTAAATATTATAATAAGGTTAACAATAATTATAGAAATTAACACAAAAATTACTGCATCATAATAATTTAACAACTTTTGAAAATGTTATATTATTATAAATTATAGTAATATAACATCATATTATATAATATAATAATATTTCTATATTTTAAAATTACATAAAAATAAAAAAAAAAAATTATTATTTAAAAAATGAATTACCTTATTGAATTTCCTTTTTTTGTATATATATATATATATATATATATATATATATATATATATATATATATATATATATATATAAATATATATATATATATATATATATATATATATATATATATATATATATATATATATATATATATATATATACACGCATACATAAACATATGCATACACAGAGAGAGACAGTTTCATATAAATTTTTTGGTGTTCTTATAGGTTTGGCGTGTTGAGTGGAATCTTACTGGAACTATTCTCTCATCAACAGGAGATGATGGTCGAGTAAGAATATGGAAAGGTCTAATTTTGTTACTAAATTTTTAATTTAATGCTGATGTAGTTAGCAAAAATGTTCAACAAGCTATATATATATATATATATATATATGTATATATATATATATATATATATATAAAAACATTAAGTTTAATTGTTATTTAAAAAACTGCAAAAATTATGATTGTTTTTCAATTAATGTTTTTTTTATCAGTTTATGCTGTTTGTTTTTTTTTTTACATTTACTTTCTATTTGTTTTATTTTTGTTTCATAGAGTAAAACAAGGCAGAATGAAATAGTTATGACAATGTTTATTCTTTTGCTCTTAATTAATTATTGGATAATCTTTTTGAAAATGTTTTTAAATCACATTATAGAGAATACTTTTCTGATTAAGATAATATCAAATTTTATTTTTGATGAAATAAAATTTGTTATGAATTTTGAAGTTTTGGTATGCCTAATAAGTTTTTTTTTATTATTTTGAAAAAGAACTTAAAACTCTAGGAAGTTAAATTTTATATCATTGAACTTGAAAAGTTTCCTGGTATATTTTTTTACATTAATCAAGAATCTTTTTTCAAAATTAAATTTTCTATTTAGGAAAAAAAGCTATGAGTAAAAAATGAAAAAGGAGAAATGTGAGGTTGAATCACAGCGATCTATACTGCAGGCCTTGCCAATGTACAAACCGCGCATTTGACAGGAGGTCTATTTAAAATTTTGCTTAACTTTATTTGCCATTTTGATATTAATTAGTGATAATAAAATATGGGTAAAAAATGTTGCATTTATGTCTGCATTACAAATTATTTATCTGCAAAAAAGAAATCTGATAATTTAAAGCTTTCAGTATATCTATTTCCTAAAAATGAAGAAGAAAAACAAATGTGGATTAAAGTGATTCCAAATGCAAACTTAAAAGTAAATAATGACACTGTAGCTTGTGAGTTGTATTGGCTGATAAATTTTGAAAAACAAATAGTTAGAGGAAAATATCGTTCTAAATTTCCACCATCTGTTTGGCCTGGCATACCGTCATGTCAAATTCCTACCCATCTTCCTCCATTACATGCAACAACTCGCGCTTCTTCGTGTTTTCGAAATTTCGCTCAAGATGATCTATCCACTTTTTTAGAAAAAGATAGAGTAACTTTTGCTGAAAAGAAAAAATTCTTTTAAATAATGAAAGAGATATAGGTGTTCCAATAGTATGGTTTTTGATTAATTACACTATTCATTTACAATCACAAGTTTATTCAAATGGAGTTCCTTATTTTTTAATCAAGATTAGTGAGGATTTACATTTTGAAACTTATCATTATGGTGCCAAAAATAAAGTTCCTAAAATATCTAAAAACATAATTTCAAAAATCAACTATATGGTCTATATTAGAAGAAGTTTTGCGTTATTTGAAGAATTTAATTTCATACAGAAAAGAAGTTGTAATTCAGGAAGATTTAGCCCCTATGGGTACACAGTGTGTTTGTAGTAAGATTTATTCTAAGAAGGTTATTATTAGATCTTTTCAGTATTTTTTTTCAGTATTTTGCTACTTCTAGAAGTTTGTATAATCAATTGCGAACAGATTACCAATTGCCTTCTGTAAGAACTAAGACTAACCTCAAAAGTTTCTAAATTAAATGAGAAATATTTTTTCAGACAAATATTTTTCAATCTGTTGAAGAAAAACAGAAACTTTGTTTTTTATTGCATGATGATGTTTATGTTAAAAAAATGTTGTTATACCATGGTGGTACATTGTTCGGAAAAGCAATCGACAATTCAGCTTCTCTTGCAAAAACTATATTGGGTTTAATGGTTAATTGCTTATTTGGTTGACCATCATTCATTTCTAAAATGATACCTATAAGTAAATTAAACTCTCAATTTCTTTTTGAACAAATTGATATTACTATTCAATCAATAAAGGAGTCTTCGGGTCTAGTTAAAGCTATTATATGCGACAGAAATAGAATTAATCAGGCATTTTTTAAAATCTTTGAAAAATCAGCTCCAGATAAACCCTGGTTGACTAATAATGGTATTTTCTTAACCTTTGATTATGTCCATTTGCTTAAAAACATTAGAAATAATTGTCTTACTGAAAAAACTGGTCAACTTATTTTTTTATGATAAAGGAGTATGTAAAGTAGCACAATAGGATCTTAAAAAACTTTATGAACTTGAATCAAAAAATTTCGTTAAACTATTCAACTTAAATGTTTAAGTTTCAATATTTCCAAAGAGATTTACAATTGAGAGGCAGTTTCTACCTGTTTAAGGGTATTTTGTGACAAAACTTACCATGCTTTAATTAATTATCCAGCATATAAAAGAAAGACAAGGTACAGCAGATTTTATTAACATAGTTGTGTCATGGTGGAAAGTTCTCAATGTTAAGGAAACAGGTGCTGATATTTAAAAGATCCTAATGATAATAGATCAGAAAATATTTTAAATTTTGGAAATATGGCTTTAAAGATGGCTGGAAAGCTAGGTAAAAGGGAGAAACAACTTACTTGTGACACTGCACAGTCAATTTACCACACATGCAAAAGTATTTTTGAGCTATGTTAATCATTATTGGATTGCTCACATCAATATGTCATTCTTCGTGAGTTTTCTATATTATAACAGAGCAATAAGTGATTGAAAAGTTGAATATTTCAAGAGCTAAGCTTTTGCTATCACATGATAACCCAGCTGTTGAGAAAAGTCTTGACACAACCCATTCTTGTCCAAATTGTGGTTTTCTATTGGATGAGCCCTCTGCTGAGATATTTGACAATCTACCAGATCTCAAATCTTTTATTTCTCTTGGTACAAATATGGCTCTTTTATTTATATATATATATATATATATATATATATATATATATATATATATATATATATATATATATATATATATATATATATATATATATATATATATATCAGGGTACTCATAAAGATAAAGAACCATCAGAAAATGATTTGCTAGATGAAACCACTTTTTACCACCAAAAGTATGGACAATACATAAACTCAATTGACTGTGGTGGGCTTAATATTCCCACAGGTACATACACAAATACATGTCAATTGGTAATATTTTCTTTTATAGTTTTCAATGCAATTAAGGATAGAGTATGCAGAGTATTATTAAGCAATATTCTAATGATGATTTCAGAGTTTTACAACTTTGAGGTGCAAGACACCATGGAAATATTCTTTCAAATATTTTTTTAAACAATTTATGTAAAATTCTTATGCCACATTCAAATAAAAAACCAGCTCAAAAAGTATTGAAATTGTCATGAATTCTTTGACAACATTTAAAAACAAAATATATATTTTTTTTATTTAATTAAAGTTTACTGACTTTTAAAAGTTTATATTTCAAGTTTTTTTGTCGATTATATAAATATATATATATATATATATATATATATATATATATATATATATATATATATATATATATATATATATATATATTTATATATATATATATATATATATGTATATGTATATATATATATATATATATATATATATATATATATATATATATATATATATATATATATATATATATATATATATATATATATATATATGTTTTGCTTTAATTTCAGTTTTTAGTTATAAAGTTATAAAAAAATTTTTTAGTTTTGGCTGTTTATGTAATAGGCCCCAGTCAGATACGCTGTTTGCGCGTTGGCAAGGTCTGTAGTATAGATCGCCATGGGTTGAATGAAATACAATAAGTAAAGCAATAGCTCACTTCTTAAATGCAGCTTCTTTTTTTTTATTAAATCTCCGACTAAAAATTTTTTGTTTTGAAATAATTTTTTCAAAGAAATTTTTCAAATGAATGATATTTACTTTAAGTAAATGATTCTGATGAATGAATGAAATATGCTAGTTACTCTCTTGTTAAATGCGGTTTTTATTAATTAATTAAGTCTCAAGTGACCATATAAATATATCTAAATTAAATTTAATTAAATTTTATTAAGTCTTAAGTGACTAAGCTGTGCATAAATTTCAAATGGATTATCGTTAAATCTATTTTAATATAAAATATATCTTGAAACAACTTGCATGCAAAGAAAAAAGAAAAACTATACACTGAAGAGCAAGTTGCACTTGCGGTGTTTAAAGTACAAAGCGGTGAATTTTCACTTAGCAAATCTGCTTAATCATTCACTATACCAGTCGCAACTCTTCACAGGCATGTCCATGGCATAGGTGAAACAATTGGCAACGGTTCAAGCACAAGGTTGTCAAAATAATTTGAATCAGTTTCAGTAGATATGCTCATCAAATTATTCAATTGGGGCTTTGGTAGAACATCATCACTCTAGTTACTGACTATTTGCAATACCAAGGTCAAACTCATTTATTTCCTAATGGTACACCATAAAGAGATTGGTATAACCTTTTCATAAACCAGTGGAGTCTTAGATTGAACATCAAAACCATAGGCAATATTTCATCACTCAGAGTCGCTTCTTGCATGCAAGAAATAGTAGCAAAGTATTTCAACACACTGCAAAAAGAATTCAGTGTAGCAGGTATCAACAAAAACACACCATATCATTTGTGAATTTTGATGACATTAGCTTCTCTGGTGATCAAAGTAAGCAAAATATAGTTTGCCAGCGTGGAGCAAAACGACTATTGAAATTGGTTGACAACAATGACAAAATATACAGTTAGAATTTCATTAATGCTGCTGGTAATTGTCCTGCTCCATACATTATTTTACAGAGATTGGTGTTTAAGTGGTCCTGATGATGCCATATACACTATATCTCCATCCCGATGGATGGAAGATAAGCAATTTGTGCATGTTCCTGCCATTAAGAAAACTTCAGGTAATTAGTTCAATCTAATTTTACATTCACAAAAAATTACATCAATCTAATTATAGTTATCTAATTTTAGGTATTCATATTTTAGTTGTAGATGAGCATGTGACACATGTCACTTATTTACAAAACGATATCTAGCAACTTATCAAAGAAATGTTTTAGTCACTTGCAAAATAAACTTTGTTCTAGTGAAGTTTTTACACTTACCCAAATAATCACTGGGTTTTAAAATACTGGCTTGTTTCCACTCGACATCAATAAAATCGATCAGTCAAAATTGCAAATTGCAAAAATGTTTGAAACATTGTCATCTGAACCTGAGCATTCATCATCTCAACAACCAAAATCTATGATAGTACTATCACCAATACTAGCACCAGGAATTACACTGACATTGCCCTCTGGATCTACACCAACATCTAGCATCAGCATATGTCACATAGTATCAGCTCCCAAGTCACATCAAAAGTTACCCTGTCTGCAAGCAACCTTCAATGTTGTAGTAACTCCGGCTATTCAATAGGAAATTCAAAAAGAGGTTGAATAACAACTGTAATCAGCCCAATCACTTGCAGCAGCTTATCAACAAATCTTTTGTATCCGACACATTGACACAAAAAAAAAAGAAAAAATGTAGATGTGCCAAATACTTAAAAAGTTGAAAGATGCTGAAAACAAAAAAGCAGCAAAGCAAGCTAAAAAACAACGTATGCTTAGCTCTAATGGCAAACGGCAAATAAACAGCAAATTAATTTTTGATGGATTTTTTAATTGTTATTATTGATTGTTTTTTTAATAAAGTGTTGTTTTAATTACGCATATATTTGCGTATTTCATTTTCCCCGAATGTCAGTGTCGAATATTTTTTTTTAATCAAATAAAGTTTCATAAAAAACTTTAAAAAAAAATTATTTGATTTTTACATATTTAAATACAGCTCAATATTCTCTACAACTTACAACATTTTTTCCGTAAAAAATAACTAAAATCATTAACTATTTCATCTGAACCCATTTTACTCTATACATTGAGAGTTTGGTTTGGGCAAGCAATCTATCAATTAAAATTTTTTTTTGTTTTTTAGTTTTTTCTGGTCTGGTTTATAAGCGTTCCATTTAAAACGACATTTTTATGTCGTTTTAAATGGAACGCTTATAAAACGACAATTTTATGTCGTCTTAAAGAGAACGCTTATGAAAAACTTTTCGACCATCATGCAAGAGTATATAAACATGATATGAATATATATATATATATATATATATATATATATATATATATATATATATATTATATATATATATATATATATATATATTATTTGCTCTACTAATTATATAAAACGCTGTATTGAGCACTCTTACTGGAAATATTAACGTAATTTCTACAATATTATCGCTCCTTTATGTTGAGCACTCTCTACTATCTTCAGTTATATTAAATAATTACAGTTATGGAAAATCATTATTTCAACTATTCATTAAAGAACGTACCATTACCATCCAAAAAACAATACTTAAAATGCCTAACGGAGAAAGTCGAGTCACTAATAAAGCGAATGAGATGGAAAGATTTGATGCACGAAAATAGTCCTAATCAAGAGCCCGCCTATAATTTCGATCTCAAGTCGAGAAAATCTCCACCGCAACATCCCGATTTAGTAAGTTTTGAAAACGATTTATTTAAGCTAATTAAGAACATTTCATTTTCTACAACTCAAAACGATTTTCAAAAGCAACTGCAAACTGACATAGTAAAAATAAAATCTTCATGTAATGTTTTTGTTTTTGATGATAAATCTAGAAACCTGTATGAGCTAGACAAACCTTCATATCATAAACTTAATACTGAAAATATTACTAAAACCTATAAAAAATCTGATATCACACAATATAACATCATTAACACAGATGCTAAAATCATTGCAAAAGACTTGGGCATAGATGATAGGCTATTGCGTCTAGCCATGAATACAGCATTCATTACCTTAAAAGATCATAAGGATAATTTCCCCAACAATATACAGTGCCGATTAATAAATCCAGCTAAACCAGAACTCGGAAAAGTAAAATTTTGTTAGATGATATCAATAGTAAAGTTAGGGATGCTACCCACGTACACCAATGGCACAGCACAAATGACGGCATAAAATGGTTCAAATCCATACTCGAAAAAAATAAATGTACTTTCATTCAATACGATATTGACGAGTTTTACCCTTCAATTTCGAAACAACTTCTTCAAGATTCTATAAACCATGCAAAACAGTTCACCAAAATTCCTGATAAATCACTGAAAATTATTTACTACACCAGGAAATCTTTACTTTTTTCAGGAAATAATATGTGAATTAAAAAGTCGGCCCTAATTTCGATGTCACCATGGGTAGTTTTGACGGAGCCGAATTATGCGAACTAGTTGGCCTCTATATATCCTATACACTATTGCCAAAGAATATGGTCTTAATACTACCGGTCTGTATAGAGATGATGGTCTTTGCTGCTTCTATAATATCAGTGGTCCATAATCGGAAAAAATAAAGAAAAATCTAATAAAAATTTTTAAAGACAATTTTAATCTCAACATCACTATCAAACCAAATTTAAAAACCCTAAATTTTCTTGATATCACATTCAACCTTTCTGAGAACTCTTTTAAACCTTATAGAAAACCAGGAGATAATCCTTTATATATTAACATCAATTCCAATCATCCACCACTTCAAGCAAAGAAGCTTTTGATAGAGCCGCACCATTTTATAATAACGCTCTCAATTCTTGTGGGTTCAAAGATAAGATCAATTTCACTCCAAATATCCAGAAATATAATAAAAAATCTCGAAAAAGAAACATTATCTGGTTTAACCCACCTTATTCACTCAACGTCAGAACAAACGCAGCCAAAACATTTTTGAGTACAATTGATAAATGTTTCCCTAAAGGCCACAAATTTCACAAACTTTTTAATCGAAACAACTTAAAGGTTAGTTATAGCTGCCTTCCAAACATCAAGAGTATTGTTACTTCTCATAATAAAAAGATATTATTTCATTCTCATGAAAATGCCAATCAATTATGCAATTGTCGGCAAACCACCTTATGCCCGCTCAATGGAAAATGCCTTACAAAAAATCTTATTTATATTTGCAACGCAAAAACTCACCAAGAAGAAGAAGGATATTATTACGTTAGGCTTACTGAGAAAACTTTCAAAGACAGGTGGTATAAACATAAAAACTTCTTTGTTTATGAAGGTAAGGCCAACTCCACTGAACTTTCCAAATTTGTGTGGGAATGCAAAAATAAAGGTATAGAACCTATATTAAAATGGAATATCCTCGATCAAGCGAAGCCATTCAAACCTGGTGGTAAATTTTGCAATTTATGCTTGACAGAAAAATACAACATTATTAGGTCGCCGTTGAATTTGCTTAACAAACGAACCGAGCTTGCGTCAAAATGCCGCCATGAAAATAATTTTCTAATAAAAAACTTTAATGTCATCAAAGCGGACACTCCATAGCATTTTTTGTATATAATTTTTGTCGTTAATTTTTATTGTTGTTACATCTGATGATCGCTATTGCGTGAAACTTTTAGTTATGTAATTGAAAGATATCTAAATAATTATTTAGTTTTCACTATATTATTTGCTCTACTAATTATATAAAACGCTGTATTGAGCACTCTTACTGGAAATATTAACATAGTTTCTACAATATATATATATAAATATATATAAATATATATAAATATATATATATATATATATATATATATATATATATATATATATATATATATATATATATATATATATTTAAGGCTTCAATAGTGAAAACCAATGATTGATTCATTGATTTTCATTATTGGTCATGAAAAACAATAATCATTCATCAACAATTTTGAGGAGTAAATAAATACCCCTCTAAATAATCTATAAGGTTATTTAAACCAAAATTATTTTTAGATATTTATGTAACTGTATAAGAAAATTTGATTGTGTCAATTTAAAAAATAACTTCATGCAAGTGAATTAAACTTAATTGCAAAGAATTTTAATTAATAAGGACCTGAGTTTTTTTTTACTTTTTTGAAAGAGTAAAAACAACTAAAAATATTTAGCCCAGTATTGTTATATCTTTGTTTTAACTTGAAATTCTGTAAATTTTTATCAATTTACGTAAGTTGTTTACATATTTACATAAATTTTTCACAATTCAAACTAATTAAAACAAGAAAAACTTTTCACCTAATTTTGTCACCTGACATTAACAAAAAGAACTTTCCCCTCATTTTTTTATATAATTGTGTACAACAATATACACAAAACAATTTAGTAAAGACCTGTAAAAGCATTTAGTAAGTTATGTAAATTTATAACCAAACTAAATTTCTTTATTTTTTAGTATAAGAGATGCATTTTTATTCGAAATTATATATTTATCTTTTTATTTTAGCAAATTATTTAGGAAACTGGACCTGTCTAGCAGATATGCAAGGTGATAACGGAAACTCTTCAAAAAAAACTGCCCATATTCCCATGAAAAAGCATCCAATTTCAATCGACTTTAATTCTATACAAAGTACCAAAGGTACATACTGAAACCTTAGGAATAAAGTAATTTATTAATGAAGAGGTTATGGTGTTTTTACTTCAGCAAAACCATTACTAATTAAAAATAAGAAGAAAAAAATCTGGAAAACGTTTCTGTAAATTTATATACCTGAGTCACTTATAAACTGTGTATATAAATATAATTGTCATTTTTTTTTTCATTTTAAATTAGTAATATAAAAAAACGACGTGAAATTTGTTGTGAAGAAATTCTGATTTGATCAGTTAGATTGTGTAAATTTATAAAAATTGTTGTACTCAAAAATTATTTTTTTAATCTTGTCATATAAAGGTATATGGCACTATTGAGGTTTTTATTGTATTAAGGTTTTATATGTATACATTTTTTTTCACTTTACTATGCCCTACTATTGTCAAAGAATCTCATTTCTTCAAGAATTTTAATTGTAACTCTCTTAACCCTAGTCTCCGAAACACGAAGGCCGCTGCGAGGAGAAACAAGTTGAGCGCGGTACTTCCATAGGCGTAGGGTGAATTTAAACTTTGTCTTAATGATTGTGAGTGTCTACCACTAATCTACTACCGCATTAAGTTAATTTTTTAAATAGCTAAACTTTTTCTACATTTTGCTTAATAAAAAATTCATTTATGATTTCAATAAATCGCACTCTTTTTATCTGTCAAACACTACTACTTGGTATTTTCTAATATCCCCTTTTCTTCTATCCCAATTTTTGATGCTTTTAATCCAATTGTTTTGTAGAGCCAATTTTCATCGGAGTTGGTTGAAATCTATAAAGCAAGTGATGCAACTTTCTTAGATCTAATACTTTTTAAGAAGCAACAAAAAAACAACTGCGTTTTGCTTTTTTCAAGCTTTTCTTATCCCTTTCTTAAGATGGTAGACCACTAATTAAATCAAATCCTTCAAAAATTACATTTTAGATATTATTTACATCTAAATTGACTAAAATTTACTCTTGAATGACAAAATTAAAAAAAATGAAAGTCAAAAATTTTTTTGATTTCAGAAATTTGGTCCCCGTTGCGGTGATTATCTCAAAAACTATTGAAGCTATTAACATAAAATTTTCTAAATTTAGTTTTAATACAATAAAAAAGATCCTGTACCAAAATCAAGAAAATTTACTTAACAGATTTTTTTTTATAAGAAAAACAATAAACTAAAACTATTATGCACCATAAGAAATATCCTCATTAGCTACTGTGTTCTTATTATAGCTTTATTTTCAGAATATAAACTTACTTTCAGAGCATCTTCGCTGCAACATTCATGCTAGCTTCAGCTATGTAACTGTTATAATTTCTTTGTTTAACTAGTTAAAAAATTTCTTTATGGGATCAAACATGTTCATAAAACCACAAAACTTTTCAATACTACAGTATTCTTTATCCATTTCTCAAAAAACTAATATTGTACATAAATAAACATTAAAAATTCATTACTGCTGGTTTGTTTATAATTTTGGTAGAATAAAACTTCTGAATAAAATTAGGAGACAATTTTATAAGCCATATTATTTTAAGCATCATAAAAATTTATAATTTAAAAGTTACATTTTAGGAACTTTTTGATAACAAACAATGGCAGCCATTATTCCATCTCATTTGTTGGTGTTCATTAATATGTAGCAGTCATTTGTAACATTGAACTGATTGTAATTAGCAGAACTATTATTTTTATTTACAAAACTGTTATTTAAAGTTTTTACAGATTATTTACTGATGGATCTGGATGTACACATGTCCATTTAAATTTTTTTTTGCTATGCTACATTCAAATTTTAGTTCATGCAAATTAAATACAATTTCAGCTGCATGATTTGTTGATTGGTTTTGGTTTTCTTTAAAAATTTTAAATAAGTATTTTTCTATGTTTTGTTTTATTTCTTTTTTTTTTTTTTTCCATTACTTTCCATTACTAATATTACTTAATCAAAGTGATAATATAAATGTAGAATGATACAGAAAACAGCAACTATAGTTGGAAATTTCAATAAAACTCATGTAGCCAAATGCACCAAAAGTATAAATCAATAAACAAAAAGTAGTTTTAGAGTTGCAATCACCACATCTGGTATTTTATATCAAAAATATATACTATAATTATGATACAATTTCCTTTTTAGTTGTATAGCAACGGAATAAACAAAGCGTTGCTATGGAAAAATAAAAAAATTTACTTATACCGCTTAATAAAAAATAGTTTTTAATGGTGTTAGCTATTTTTTTTTCATAAAACTAACTTGAAATTCGTAATTTACAATAGCTATATTACTTAAAAAAGTTATAATTCAAAAAATAATTTTTTTGATTTTTAATAGTGGTCTACCACCTTAATTGTAATAGTTTGTTGCGTTGCACACTGAGCCAGGTGGTGGACAAAACCTAAAAAACAAATATTTATTATATTTAAAACCATAAATGAAATATATTGGTAATACTCTCACTATTTCGAAAATTGCTTTGAGTATAATAGTATCTTTTAAAAACACAAAAATCATGAATCCGCATTCATGTATAATGAAAAAATATATATATATTTTTTAATGAGTGAAATTTTTTTTTACAGAGTATAGTAAAAAGTAACTTTTAAATTTGTATAAGCTTACGGAATTAGTTTATATATTTAAGCTATTTAACAATAAAACGGTTCTCGTTTTTTTAAATTTGCCGACTGCCTAGTCGACGTTTGCCGACTTACTCTCTAAATTTACTGACTAACATGTCTAAAGGGTCTACGTTTACCAACTGATTGTCTAAAAGGGTCAAGTTTGCCGACTAAATGAACGAAAAATTCACTGATTGAGGTAGGGGGGATGGAGACACATCATCGCGCCGGTCTTTTCTATATTATTTACTTAAACTAGTAAATGTATTTTGTTTGTTATTTAATTCAATATAAATTGTACTGTTTACCTAACAATTTTTGTAATAATATTAAAATTGGTGATATTTACGGACTTACACGACAAAATAAAATAGTTCCTAATGATATACTATTTTTTTTTTTTTTTTATTGAAGTTAACTCTTCTAGTTTTTACAGATAATAAACTAGAGGATTCTGAGTGAAAAACGTTATAAAAGAATATTGTTAAAAGTGGATAGCTGCAAACAATGATAGTACTTATTTTGAGAGATGTAATGAAAATTGGCTAGCTTAAGATTTTCAATACACCTACTGTACTTTAAATTCTACATCATCAGTTAATGAAGTTGAGAAACCATGTTGTTCTTTTGAAAACGTTTTTAACAGAACAAAAAAAATAAGCTTAACAATGTCATTAATATTTCATCTTTTTTTTTTCTTCTTTTTTTTTTAAATATCTTCGCTTCCAACAAGGCTGCAAGCAACCACTAAGTTACTGGAAGAGAAAAAATGAAAATTGTAGAGCAAGATAACGATTGACAGACGACTTAAAAGATTGCAAATTATATAAATCAGGAAAGCAAGATGAAGGAAGCGAATTCCAAAGACCTGATGTTCGAGGAAAAAAAACTAGTAGAATAGGAATTTTTGGAGCACTTAGAAACAGTCACAGAAAAAGGATGAGACTTAATTGAACGACGACTAACACGAGAATGAATTTTAGTAGATGGCATAAGAAACGCTAGCTCTTTAGAGTAGTGCCCATTGTAGTTTTTGTAGAAAAGAGAAAGAGAAGCGACATTACGACGATCTGATAATGGTTGAAGATTGGCTGGAAGAACAGGTCAACTATGTTTACAATGCCTTGTCTAAAAGAGAAAGGACATCATTAGAAGATTCGCCCCAGATATGGCATCAGTATTTTATACATGGTCGGATTTGAGATTTATAGAGATAGAGAATAGAATCCGGACTAAGAAAGTGTCGAGCTCGATAAAGAGATGCAACATTAGCTGATGCTAATTTTGCAACGGATTTGATATATGGTTTCCAAGATAGATCGGAAGTAAGAGTTAATCCTAGAAGATCAAGGGTAGATGATTTATAGATTACATTACCATTCATAAATATAGGAAGGTCTACATTATTGTGATAACGATTGGCTGAAAAAAATTGAGTTTTATCTGAATTAAAGTTCACCAGCCACTGTGAGCTCCATGCTGTTGCCAAAGTGAGATCCTTTTCAAGATCAAATGCCCCCTCTAAGCAATCAGAGAGTGTTGGCTTCTTATTATGACAAGAGTAAATGGTAGTATCATCAGAGAACAATGCCACCTTAGATCTGAGAATATCTAGAAGATCCTTAATGTAAATTAAAAAAAGTATAGGGCCAAGGATTAAACCTTGAGGAACCCCTGGGGTTACAGAATAAGAAAAAGAATGCTGTCCATCTAGGACAACTTTTATAAAACGATTGGAAAAGAAAGATTTAATAATCTTGGAGATGTTTCTAGATACACCGTAAGAAGAAAGCTTATGGAGAAGATCAGCATGCCAAACTTTATCAAACGCTTTAGAAATGTCAAAGGCGATGGCCTTAACCTCTCCTCCTTTATCTATAGATAAACTTTTATCTATAGATAGGTTTTATCGTGCATTATAATGCACGATAAAACCTATCGGTTATTACTGTTAGCAAATCAGCCGTAGAACGAGAAGATCGAAATCCATATTGATGCTTATGATAGAAAAAAAGACATGTTTTGCTGATAGATATGGAAGTAATGGTTTCGATTGGCAATTGCAGCAGCACAATGTGAGGAAAACCATGGAGAAGAGTGAGGCTTGACCTGGAATTGTCGAGAGGGAATAAAGGATTCCATGCCAGCCTGAATCCACAAAGTTATGTAAGAAGCACATTTGTCAACAGGAAGACTAAAGATGTCTACCCAGGAACCATCACGAAAAAAATCACGGAAAGAGTCCCAGTTAGCTTTAGGTAGTTGTAAGATGTAAGATGATAGGGGGATTCTGATGGTAAAGAAGAATGAGATAATAGTTTTAGAGAGACTAAACCATGATCAGAAGCACCTAAGGGTGAGTGTGGAGAAAATGAGCACTGACTAGAATCAGAAACAAGACATAAGTCCAGAAGAGAAGGTAAATGATTCGGGTTGTCTAGAAAACGAGTTGGAAAGTTGACTATTTGAGTTAGGGATTGAGAAAGGCAAAAGTTGTGGGTTTTAATGCCTGCAGGGTCACTGACACTGGAGCCAAGCCATTCAGTGTGATGAACATTAACGTTA